ATTGTTCATCAAGATTTTATCCCATAGTTCCTTTCTTCTAAGTTTCCTCCTTTGGGTTCCCCTGAGTGCCACTGGTTCCATTTTCAGGATTACCTTGCATCTTTCAGGGTGTGCAGTGTCACGGGTTGCACGTAGGTGGAACAAGGACCAGCAATGTGGTGCGAGCCTGGAACGAGCTGTCCCCTCACATGAATCATCATCTCTGCCACTGAATGGCAGAAGAGCACCCACAAGGCAGGAGGGCTGACGCCTCCAGTTCCCACCTTTGGAATGTCGTTCTTCTTTTTCAGCTCCACTGAGCCCCACTTTCTTATGGGGAAGTGAAGCAGCTTCAAGGAGTTGGGCCTGACTGGAGGCCATGATGGGTCCTGGCCCTCTTAGGATGACTTTGCTTCCTCTTCAGCAGAAATCCCAGTGCCGTGATACTTCCCCATGCCAGCTTTCCTGGAGGAAGATGAACCACTGTGGGTTCAACACCGTGCTTAGAATCATGGAATCTTGATGGTTGGAAAAGACTATCAAGATGATCATGTTCAACCCTAAGCCCCTGAATAACGTATCTGTTATCTCATGTTCCTAAGTAAGTCCTTCATCTACACTTTTTTTTTTTTTTTTTTTTTTACAGTGATAGGGATTGTGACTCCATTCTTTCCTTGGGCAGTATGGTAGAAAAAAAGAACATTAATAAAAATTGCTTTTCTAACATCTAACCTGAATCTCCCCTGGTGTAAATTGAGGCCATTTTCTCTTCCTCTGTTGGTAGTTATTTTAGAGAAGAGATTGATCCCTGCCTCACTACACCTTCACTACAGGCTGCTGTAGAGAGCGATAAGGTCTCCCCTGAGCCTCCTCTTCTCCAGACAACATAACCTCAGCCCCTTCTCATAAGGTCTGGACTCCAGCCTCTTCACCAGCTTCATGCCCTTCCCTGGACACACCCCAGCACCTCAGTGTCGTTCTTGTAGTGAAGGGCCCAAAACTGAACACAATATTGAAGGTGCAGCCTCACCAGCTCTGAATACAGGGGGACAATTACTTCCTAGTCCGTCTGGCAACACTATTCCTGATAGAACCCGTGGGTTTTGGAAACGTCTGGGAACAGAACAACATTTGGGCCACAGAGCCTTTTTACTATTCAGGTGTTCTCAGTGCCCCGATTCCTCTGCGCACCTTAAAGGAGCGCGAAGCTGAGCGCAGTCGTTCAGCGTTTGCACAATGTGCAACTCTTGACCAGTCTGCAGCAGACCCCAACAGGTGCTCATGCACTGCTGTAGCTGTGGGGAGGCTGCCAAGAGGTCACCCAGCAAGAGCAGCCGGCCTTGGCACCTTGTCCTTGCCCACGGCACAAGGCTCAGGACATGGGCAGAGCTGCCTCCAGGATAGAGGTCCCCACATACCGATCTGCTCCAAGCAGCGCTGCCCCTGCACAGCCACACACAACCAGGCATCAGAAGGAGAGCCGGGAGGGGTGCTCTGTGAAAATTTCCAGCTCAGTTATTAGACTTTGCCACACCATCAGTCTGATCAACCAGGGCCAAGACGACACTGGAGATGTGTTAGATCAGGTTTTTCGGGCTTTACAGCCATGATCTCACAAAAATAAACACTGAAACAGAAGGATGGGCTTCATGAAACGGACACTATTCCCCATACAAAAATTTCCCCCAATTGCTAAGGTTTCATTTCAGAAGAGGCATCTGTTCAGAAAGGAATTGTATACTCTCACCACATGCACATTTTAAGGTTTCCTTCCCAAGACTATCAATTAACCTAATGTGTACGCACACGAGTCTCAGTGAAGCCGTATAAATTCCCAGATCTCGCAGAGCCACCTGCAGTAATACAGGTAGCAGTGCCGGAGACCAGGCAAAGATAAAGCCTACGAGTGGGAGCAGTTGGCGAGCACCGCGCTGTGCACGTGTGCGTGCATCTCCGCATGCACGTGCAGCCAGCACAGAACTGCAGCCAGCAACGTAATGCTCATGTCGCTCTCAGTGTTGTATGACGATAATAATAAAGTAATTATTTTGCACTTTTTTGGACTTACTAACCAGAAGCAAAAAGTTTAATGCATTTTAATTTAAAAGCAATTTGCCATGCAGCAGAAAGAAAAGGAACACATAGATTGTTGATGGCTTTAATGACAACCGACACCTTTAAGGTACCTGTGGGTGTACCTTTGTACTGTCAGTTCCTCCTATTGATTTTCCACTTCCTTTTGAATTACCGCTCCCTCTGGTCTTCCCTAGTCTATCGAAGGAGAGCCGTGACCAGGCAGTGCTCACAGCACTGGTAACTCCACCATCAAGGCACTGGATTTCAACCATCCTTCTCTGTAGCTGTGACACCATTAAGTGCAACACACAGGGGTACAAGGGAAGGCCCATCTGAAAGGAAGACGTCTCCTGGGGACGCTGAACGAGCCCAGGTCCTCTCACCTCCCATTCTGCAGCACCTGGGCACCTCTGTGGCCTTGTGTTGGGCTCCGCCAGCCTGTCAGGCATCTTGGCGGTGGGAGGAGCCCAAACCCAACACAGGCGACTCCGTCTGGACATCCGTAAAAACACTTCAGGTTCTTTCTTTGGCTGGAGGTGGGGCATGATTTGACATACTGCCCCCTTTCTTTCTGTTCCCAACTTTTTTTCCCCGGATATATTTCATATCGCAGGTGGATCACATTTTTCTGCCCACGTTGTGCCTTCATTTCTAATGCTCCTAATAATGCTCCTTCCTAATGCTCCTAATGCTAACTAATGGGGACCTCTTTACATTCCTCAACTATGTCAGCCCCCAGTGAGATATCACCTAACAACTGCAACCAGATAATATTAGCTTTCTTTCCTTGCCACTGCTCCGGTTATTTTGCCAATACGTTGCCAAAAAGAGTGAGTTATTCTCCAGTCCTTGAGGGCACAGTTCAACACAGCTGCGTTTTGCCTCCTGTTGTGGGGCTTTCCTATACAAAAGCGAACAGCTTCTGACTTTGTTCTTCTAGGGGGATACAAATGAAAGCATCTTTTAAACCCAATACTGTGAAGTAGATTTCTGGCTCAACTGCTGTTGCTAACAGTGTAAGGGTTCGCTGTCACCATCAATCACTATTTGACTGAGAGCGCTTAGATCTAGTACCAAGTGATATTCCTGTGACTTTTTGACAGATAAAATCAGAGTTTTATAGTCTGACATTCTCACAGTTCTTATTTTTAAAATTTACTAATTATCAGTTCTAGTCTGATGCAGGCTTCTAACTTTGCCGTCGATATTGCCTTTGTCTCACTGACTTTACCCCTGGTTTTAATTCCGCTCTTACTGGTTATGCTGATTCCACTTTCCCAGGCTTCTCAGTTGCCCAGAATAAAGGGTTCACTGTGCTCGTGCGTGTCCAAGGAGGTGGCTTCAATCTGCTTTGACTTATCCCCAGGCTTTTTTGTCTCTGATAATTACTGCAACATCTGTATCTGTTTCCCAAGCACTATTTTTCAATTACACACTCAAACTTTATTTTGATCAGAAGTTGTTTGTGCTCCTGGGTTATTTAACAAGTCTCTTTCCAGCAGCAGCAGCAGGGGTCATTGTGGCATATATAAAAATTCATGTGTGAATATCTTTAACACCCAATTTCACTTTTTATCAGTTAAAAGAAAAGGGTTTGACCTCTCACTTTCCTATGACACCAATTACAGACATAGAGAACTCACTCCCTGGTCCCTTGAAGCCATACAGTATCAACTATCTTGCTCCAGTATCTACAATAATGTAGTTATTTCCCAGCCTTGGTCCAGCTCTTCCACAGCTGCAGAAGACAGGGCTTTTGACCTCAGACAGACTGGAAAAAACAAGTCCTCTTGGATATTAGTATCAATGCATCATACTTAGGTATGTTGATAAGTAAGGTATCTATCTCCATATCAGGTTTTCCTTTCAGTCTTTAACGTGTGTTGTGGTGCCCTGCCTGATGCATTGCATGGGGGTTATGCTGCAGCTCACTGAGAAATGGTCAAGGACCTGCTTGAGTAATCACAAAAGCTTTAGGGGCATTTAATTCTAGAACGTGCTGTTGTATGTAGATGCAGTTAGTCCATGTGCTGGTGCGTTAGCTGAAGTCCTTTATTACCCACATTAAGCTACTTTTAACAGACAAAAAGTACATAGCCTTAAAGAGGAGGGAGGAAGCATCACCACATAGAAGCAGCAGTCCAAACCACAAATACCTACCTTGGGTGAGCAGATCTTCCTAGCTAGACTTCAAGCTCAGCGATTTGATAAACCTCCTTACTGGTTCTGGGGAATTCAGAATTAGTTCTCTCTACAGTGTGTTTGGCATGATGAAATACATTTTGCAGCAGCAAAATCAGAAAGCAAAACTTTGTATGGAGTTCAAGCTTCATGAAGATAGAGAAGCAAATTTTCCTCCTCCTAAAGACATTTTCTAACGACAAATGTGGTTTTGAATTATTTTTATTAAGGCAATATTTACAAAATATTGTAAAAGTGTAAGATTGGTTCAGCTTGCACATGATAATGGTACAAAAAAGTTACATCAGTACTGAAGTATAAAATTTTCATTTTAAAATTACCGAAAAGCACACCTTATCAGGTATTTTCCTGTCCAAATAAATGTACATATGGAATTAAAAACAATTATGTTTTCTTTGTGTTTTAATAAAGAGAAGGGATCATAAAACATTCATCTTTTTTTTTGATCCACAGTAAATTTCTCATAGTGAGCCTTTTAATGCAACTACAAAGTATGTTATTCTGAAATTGTGAGCTCTACACTGATTAGAACAAGAAAATTTTTAAGGATGGGAAAACTAAGACATTTCTTCAGATTTATATTAAGAGTTATAAGATGGGAAACGTACTGGTTGTGAAAAATTTCAAGACTGCTGCTGTGATGATAGTGGAAAAATGATCACTTTTTATTTTTTACAAAACACAAGTTTTCTATCACATGATTTTGATGTTTTTCCGTCAAAATTTACACACGTTAAAAAAAAAAACAACAGGTTTTGGTACATTGCTAACAACATGATATATAGGCCTTTTTGTTTTTTTTTCATCCAATGTGCATGATACTAAAGAGCAATCCTCAAACAAAAGAGGACAAAATTGAGGTTTTTGCCATGGACAAAAACTTTATAAAAATGTTATACAGTTAAAATACAAAATAGCTATGTTACATGTCAGATTAGTTAGTAGTAGCATTTGAGGTTTCTGGAGACTGAAGAAATTCATAGGGATCATGAACCATGTCTTGTTGCTCTCCAACGCTCAGATGAGAAGGGCTTCCTATAGAAAATGAAAGAAAAACAAAAACCTTTTAAGTGTACAGAATTCTGTACTTTTATATATAATATATATATGCATACACACACTAAAACATTGGCAAGAAATTTTTTTTTAATGTTTTTCTAATATTTTTTAGCAAGACATTTAAATGATACTTAAATTGTTAGGAGCATTTTAGAAAAGAAACCACAAGATTCCTTAGTAATTTGGACCCTTTTTGAAGACATAGTCAATATTTTCACAGAATCACAGAATCTTCAAGGTTGGAAGGGACCTCTAGAGATCATCTAGTCCAACCTTCCAGCTCAAGCAGGCACACCTACAGCATGTGGCATGGGGGGGTGTCCAGGCGGGTTTTGAAGACCGCCAGAGAAGGAGAAATTTTATTGTGAATTGAAAAAAATATATTAAAAGAAGATCTAACTTACTGTTATCCAAACAGCATCTCCTATCTTCTCAGAAAAGCTACCAAATTATGACGTGGTGGGTTACCCTATCACCCTGTCCTATGACTCTGGTGTACAGTTGACAACAGAAGGTCAGTGCAGAATCTCATCCGTTTACTGGGTGCACGTAACTGTGCTGAAGTAAAATAAACATTATCTGCTGCTAAGGAGATAATACAAGGGCATACTGTAGTCTGCCAAATACCACATTATTTCACAGTTACGTCAATCACGCTTAATCTGAAGTAACTAGAAGAAGCGTTTTTATTTCCATAGCCAAAAAATATCATCTTAGTTGCCCTTATCACTCATATTTAAAAATTGAGAGATCCTGCATTCTGGACACTGTTTAATCACAGAAATAAATTACATGAAATGGCTAAGTTAAAAGCTAAGTTTCCATACAACTTCAATTACTGAAGGAACATTGCTACTTCTGCGACGCTAGTGACTTTACCAAGATGATGCTGGTCTCTTTCTGAAGTATTGGAGAGGGAGCTCAGATTGGATGATGGCCGGGATCCCACTCTCTCGGCTTGAGCCTCATGGAGGTCTTGCAGCAGCTTAGTTGTTTCATCCAAATGGAGATGGCCATCATCGTGATCAAGCTCCTTCTTCACCTTTCCTAAGGCCACGAGTTATCAACCAAAACCAGTAGTTAGCACATGGGATTTGAACCATGAATGACCAAGCTACAACAAATACATTTCTGAATAAATTATCAGAAGTGTTGCCGGTTAAACACGAGCTCAATCTTGTACCTTCCTTTTTATTTCTAAAAGGCTTCAGATCTGTTTTCAGTTTCAGGAAATGCAAACTGAAACACATTTGGAGAAACTAAGAGATGCAGGAAAGAGCCATGGGAAACGCTGAAACTGAACTGATTTTCTCCAAGTTGCCCAGTATTTAAAAACTATGCATTCAGTTTGTCTTGCTGACCTGTCAAGCTGCAGACAAGAATATGCTCAGCTTACAGTAAGAGCGAGGAGGTTATATATGAAAGATAACTCTTCTAAAAGAGTCAAAATTGAACACATCATCTAGGGAGACTGAGAAATCCTTTAAAAACTCCATCTCGTCCAACTGTACTCAATTTACAGTAAGGCAAAGAAAGTTGAGAACTTTAAATTGCAAGTATGTGCCATAAGCTGTTCTTTCACCTGGGGAGTTAGGAAAACAATGAAAGATGCTTATGAACAATGTATATTTGAAACAGCAACCAAAAACTGCCTCACTTCTTGAGGACAGTCTATCCAATACTTGACTTTTTTTCTTGATCGGTATTTTGGAATAGTCCAAGTGGTGCCATAATTAAGATTGATATGCTCCCTACTTACGTCCCAACAGTCATTTAAGAGGACAGTACGGGAAGCAGTAACAGTCCTGGGCGACAGCTCTACACTGATTCCGAAACTTACATTACTATGAATACATAAAAAACAAGGGAAAGTTTCAAAATGTGATGCATAAATTCTGTTTTCTCAATAAGAAAGGTTAGCAGGGCTAGCAGAGGGTGTTTCAAATTAAAAACTGAATAAAGTTGCACCCCTCCTTGTGCCAGCCATAGACTTCTATTTACGTTGACTTGAGAATTACTACCACTGAGTACTCATTCTTAGCAAATCCAACTGTTACTCTGACTAAACATTACAACTAAATTGTAATTGATGGCTTGCCTATTTAATTACTCACCTAATGAACTTAACATGGATATATCGAGAGAAACATCTGAATATGGTTTCATAGAGAGAAAGTCCAAGTCAGAAGCATTATTGTCCCCAGAAGATTCACCAACCTAATTAAAATATAAGAAACAGGAAGACTTAAGACCAGCAATAGTAACAAGTCACAGTAAGTAACAGTGTGAGGTAAGTGTTGGATCAACACTCGTTATAAAAAGCTGGTAGCACCAACACTTGGGACTGGAACTTCCTAGACCGAGCTGGCCAGCCTGCAGCTCACAGGCAGCTCAAACGTGGTTCTAGGACATTCTGTACCACTAGCCTGACAAAAAAGATCCAGGAGGGCATCTCCAGGGTGGTCTGAAACTTTCACCTGAATCACCCAGGACTGCCGAAAGCAACTCTAGCAAATCCTCTGCACCTCAGCTACGTGCCCACTTCATTCTTGTCCCACCACAGAAGGCCAGGGCAAGCATTATTAGCGTCCCTGCCATGAACCACTTCCAGAACTCATTTTTCCCTCATCTTCCCCCCAAAACACAGATGATGTTTCAGCATACAATTCATAAATCCCACCTCTATATTCAAGACAACATCACTTGGAATGGACTCCACTAAGTATATCTCTACACTTTTAGATAATGAAATACAAGCTGCACTACAACCATCTAATTTCTTCCATATTCAATAATTCTGTGCAAGGCAAATTACAAGCTACTACATTTCACAACACATTCTATCAGAATCCCAGGTGCAGAAATAGGACATACAGTGTTTGACACAATCGGGTATTTTTAGCAACTGCATGAATTCCCTTGATCAGTCACCTTCTAAAGAAATACAAACACACATGTAAGAAATAAGACAATACTATGAAGTATTTATAAAAATTAAATCTTCCTGGCATCTGCAATGTAGTAGTTAGAATGCAAAATTATGTCCATTGCCATGAATCATACCCTGCATATCCTCTGTTGTCACAGTTTACAAGGTAACACTTGTACCACCTCAGGATTTGCTTAGAGATGTATTTCCTTAAACCCAGTTTTCTAACAGACATTTTCTAGACATGTGGAGAAAATGGTAAATACCACTTTTCTTCCCCTACACTATTATAGCAGAACAGACCTCAAATATTCATCATCACCAGATCAGCAATCTTTCAGATTCCTAGCTGTTCTTTCAGCCTCAGGTTACACATGCTGCATTAAACCAGAGATAAAGGACAGTCACTAACCAAAACAAAATGTATTCTGTAGCACCCATTCTAATTATGGAAAACTTATTGCAAAGACTGAAATTTTAATCCTCGACCTCACAGCATGCACATCCATGCACTGAAGCAAAATGAATGTGCACAGCACGCCCATCTTCTACACATAAACTACTTTACCATTATTTGTTTGGAAGAATCCGGACAGGTATTCCGCAGCTTGTGTTCCTCTTTTATTAGAACTGGCAGAACCTAAGGTACCAAATATTACATGTTAGTTTTTACCATTTGGCAACTTGGACTAAAGTTTCTTAACTATACTTGTAATTCATGCAATTAACCAGTTCACCATGATCAAATTTTAGGTCCATTATAGAACACTGCTCCCTTTTTTTGACGTTAGCTTAGGTCTTCCATAGCAGATCACTATATATATATATATATATTCACATAAATTAACTTGGAATTAAACAGGCTAGTTTAAAAAAAAAAAACTATATAATTTCTATTTATCAATCTTTTCCTGTAAATAACAGGAATTAAACATATTCCACATTAAATAAAATTTGAATACTGGAACCCCAGAGAACATCATGTTCTCTTTACAAAAAAAGAAAAGAAGAAAACCTTTTTCCAGCAACAAAAAAACAGAGTATCAGTATAACTTACTTTAACTTCATCCAGTGGTTTTACTGGTATGTTTCGCCTCTAGAAAGAAATAATGCTACCAATTACTTTTCTCAGTATAGGCAAAAGGTGTCTTTTACACAACATTAACCAAATTCAAACTTCTCACATAAACTGCAGCTACAAGACATCTGATCTTTTCTGCATATCTGTAATGGAACTACAACGTAAAGAGTGCTGTTTTGAATCATTTTACTTAGGCTGTTTCTTCTGGCCATGGACGTTATGTTCAAGCACAATATATTAGTGATCAATATATTAGTGATTAGTGATCAATATATTAGTGATTAATACAGCAACTTCTGATATCCAGCCATTTACAGCTGCACTTGCAGAGGCATTCCTTTTCACTTAAGCATAATAGTGCAAAATTTTCCAGTGTAAAGCAGCATGGCACATCACTACTGAAACACGTTCAGCCACACAAGATCTGGACACATTCACAAATGCTTCAACAGTCCCAGTGTAAATAGGCACTGACCATTGAAGGACGTTCAAGGAATTCTCTTTTGGAGCAAGATTCATAGAACATGGCAGCAAAAGTGTTATGGGGGGTGCATTTAGTAATACTAAATGCATTTCTGGGAAAAAAATCCTCCAGACTTAAAATGGACCTCTCAGAAAAATATGGTTTGGGAAATGAACTTAATTTTTCCCTTTAAGCACATGACATGTATTTTTAAGCACATGATAAGAATTTAAGAGTTAGCATCATGACATACAGGTGCCAATAATGTGATATCATTCTATTCTCTAACACTGTTCCAAAGTCCAAATAATAAACCTTCCGCAACAAGCACATTTTATATTTTAACAGAGAAAAATTTAACATTAGGGTTGTGCTCTACTCAGGAGGAGATACTCAGGGCCATCGCTCAGTAGGACCTCAAACAAGGACCTCAGCTGGTTGGTCCCACCCCTCTGCTGCATCCCCCCAGCTCTTCCTTTCTGCAGTCACATTGTGAAGCAGATTGCAGAGTTGATCCATATGGAAAAAAATAGAAAGAAAAAAGAAAAAAAACAGAAAGGTAGTAACCTTTCAATCAGTAATTAAATGAAGTTGATTACTTCAGTTTCTAAGTTCTGAGAAGTGATTACTTGAGTTTCTAGTTTGGTTCGCCACCCGGCTGCACCAACAGCTAAGCCTGCACAACTGGTCAGGGCAAGAGGAGGGAGGGTTGGGAGGACAGACAACAAACTGGCACTGGAAAACAAAGCATTTCAGACTATATTAACAAACAAAACCCAGCCCATCCTTGTTTTCATGAACCTGTGACATTTCAGTGCATCAGGGACCCACCTGCTTTAGCTGATATATCGTTTTCGAATGATCTCCACTAGTGATCTGGTCCAGAAGATCATCCACTATTTTCTGGCTGTAATTTCCAGCATCCTTCACAAATTCTTGTAAACTAGCAGGGAGATATTATCAAAAGAAACATTTTTATTAAAAATGGAGGTTATATGACATTTTTCGCCTTGCTCTTTTACATTCTAAATAAGTTTTTTTTTTCCCCCAAACATTTAAGAACTTTAAGACTTGTTTTCATTTAGTTTATAAAACAAAGTTTTAGAGCAGGTTATTTTTAAAGTAAATTTTAGAAAAATCAGAATTGGCTGCTCTTAGTTCTACATTCATTCCAAATTGCTTTTCAAAAAACTGCTCTGAGAAGTTAGCACTAAAGAAGTAACTCTGCAACAGAATGCCCTGCCAGTGAGGACGGACTTACCTTAAGGCACACTGTATCCCAGTTTCATCACCGTATGCTGAATACAGCAGTTCCATTTCATCCGATTTCAGATCATGAAATATAGAGTTGTTTTGCATGGAAAGTGCTGTGCTTGCACTTGTAAGAAAGGTTACTAGACAGTTCAAATAAAGAGATGACAAATGATCAGGAGAAGTGTAAAAATCACTGGAAAAGGAAGTTTTTCAAAGCAGGTATATGAAGTTTGACTGGTCTGTTATTTAATTCCCACCTATCACTCCCTAAATTCAAGGACAAAACTTCTGAGTTTTTGCAAAATGAACAATTATTCCAAGAGTATGAGCAAGTGCACCTATGCTGTCAGGGGAAGGAAGGAAATGAGAAAAAACAAAAAACAAAAAACCTAACTGAAAAATTGTTTTCCAATTATAGATTTGGGTTTTTTTGTGTGGCTAATTCACAGTTTGCTAACGAGTAGATTAGAAACTATTAATCGGTTCATAACTATTAAAACTACAGTAGCAACAGAATAAAAGGCAAGTTTTAATTGAATAGCACTACAGCAAGTGAAAATAGTGACATCTTATAAAAGTAGCAGTTGCTCTGCAAAAATTATATTCTGCCACACTAAATAGGGGAGTTTCACTAAAATGCCGAACACTGATCAGTGAACTCCTAATCTCATCTCTCAAAGTCAATTTAATTAAACTCTGTTGAGAATTTAAATAATACTTTACAAAATACATTGGGATAGGGGAATGGAATGCAATCTTCTTACGTCCGGAATTTGCTGGAGTACATAATTAACACCTAATTTAAAAGACATTCTGTAACATTTACCTTTGTTTCTTCGTTCATCTTTAAAGCCCAACGTAGTGAAGCCAGGTAATAATTTGCTTGACAGTGAACTGAGATCAACTGGGTGAGTTTCTTCCTCTGTAATCATTTGATATAAAAGAAAGTAGTCATTAAAAAAAAGCAAACAAAAACCTCATGTATTATATATTTAAAATTTACTCATACTGGATGTTATTTTTCAAAGCTGACTAGTATCATCTGGCTATACAAACTCAAGCATAATAAAAGAAACTTGTTGAGTAAATTACTATTATAGTTGTAGCATTTTTTTTGGTTAAATACTAAATAACTGCTTCATTAAAACCTATCAAAACATTTGGAATGTGCTTTCATATGGAAAAATATATATTTAATTCCGTATTTAGGACACCTCCCATGGCTCTGTTACAGAACTTAATGGTAATTATACTCAGTTACTAAACTGTAGAAAGCAAATACCTAGCTCTAATCTTACTAGGATTGAAAAGAGTCTTAACAAAAATTCTAGTTTCAGCATTAGCTGCAAATCCAATACAAGTAGTATAAAAGGGAAACCAAAAAGATTCTGGAGCACAGAAGCATCAAGAACCAGAACTTTACTGGACACAGCAAAAGCTTGTTCTGCCGAGCTTACCACCTGTCTAAATTTTCAGGGTGTCATGATTTCAGAGTTATTAATCACATTCATTTTATTATTTCATTTGTTTAGAAGCAGGTAACTGAATGATGGCATCCAAAATGCCCGATTTCGCTGTCAGAACTATCTGCTACAAGTTTAGATAATAAAAGAAAAGCAGTTTAGACAATAGCCAAGATACAAGTTTCCATCTCCCAAATGGAGTCAACAGAAGTCTGACTGGTCAAAGAGGTCCAAGCCTTCACCAGTCCCAGTAACAGCTAACCTGGGAATGACTTCCAATCTCAAAAGCTGCAGAGGAGGAAGTGCAAAATCAGCATGTCATAAAGCAGCATAAATGGGACACAATTTCATTTACTGTCAATTTTTCAAGACTTCTGCATTTTGAGCTCAAGACTAAAAAGAGTAGAAAGCATAAGAGAGAAAAACCATCTAGTAGTAAAACCACACCGAACAGATTAAGGAACTACAGAAAAACAATTAGGCAAAATTTGTACGCTAGAAACTTAGCTGATAATTTAAATTTAAAAAATGCATACAGAAAATGACTCTTCCCCTTCTTGTATCTATACTTTGCATATTTAGGCAGGACAACAGCACTTTCATTCACATTTATCTAATAGATTTTAAGATTTTTAAGATGAAAACTTGAAGGGATAAGAATAGGTTGGAGACCCTAAAATCTAACTATCAGGGCAAATGCTGCAAAAGGTTTTTTCTTTCTAAGAAGAACTCATCTATACGACACAGGATCTATATGTACATTGAAGTCTTAAAACTCTGCTAGAACATAATCTTTTAAAGAAACACTTCAAATGGTGCAAGACAGTTACCCTCTGCTTCTGGGTCAGATGAGTTGACTACACTGAATAACAGAGTTCCATCTCCATTCTTTTTCAGATAACCAATCTGTAAACAGAAACAGCAAGATTAGAAGCACTATCATAATTCACAACTGCCCAACCTCAAAAGAAAGAGAAAATTGCTTATACAGCAAAAATAAAGTATTTTGGGATAAATTCAGATTCTTCTTCAGCTATATTCATTTTTAACACAACAGCGAATCTAGAGTCTCAAGCATTTCGCATGCTCCAGCAAATGCTAAAACCACACATTCAGAGCAACAGCTTTTCTGTCATTAAGTACGACTCCTCCTCTATTCTCCTAAGTCAGATCTAAAATTTGCACCCAAGATAAAAAAAGTTCCCATTACCTCCTTACGTATTCTAGACGTAACACACTTTCTATAGCCACAATATGCAATCTATCTCACTACTTACTTCCAAGCCTACTCTACTCCTTGCTTTCAAACCTCACCCACAAACTTCTCCCACTCTAAGTATTTTTGTGAAGATACTATCAGATTCTTAAAGAAGTTCTGTGACAGTGAGCAGACAACATGTAAATGATAGTAAAAAGACAACCAGAGATCTGGAAGACAGTAGGACACAAGTATCTGAAGACAGAGCCACAAACTGTTGCCACAGTAGAAAATTAAAATAAAGCTGATAATACAAACTGACTACATGTGAAGCATACAAAATATTCTCTCTTCTCAATAGAGAAGACAGATACAATCTCCCTATAGAAAGACAGCCCTTCATAAGCCTTCAATCTATCTCAGTTTGCTTTCATTCTCAAGTGGCACCAGTAAGAGTACGTGATGCTATTTTAATCATTTTTAATCCTAAAGGTTGCAATTAAGGCAGTCAGAGCAAAGCCTGAGCAACATTTCATTGTTTTCTGTGGGTGAATTTCTAAATACGTTTAACACAATATTTAACACAACCTCCCTAAAATGGGTTTCAGTGAGAATTAAATGAAAGACAGTATCCATGTTTGTATTCCGTGCAGAGCACCTATTTCCCAACCTAGATGGGCTCGGATAATAAGCACTTAAGGCTGCTTCCTGTGATGAAGCAAGCAGCGTTCAATAGCAGCAACAACACAGAATTGTGAGCTTGATCATGCAGTGGACCTTGCTGTTGGGTAAATATCGATTGATCCTGTCCCGAGCTTCATCTGCTGCATGCTCCACTAGGGCCAGGACATGTTCTTCAGCAGTGCTATCTGTCAGGCTGCATGCATTTCCCTCCGGTTCAAAGATGCAACTAAAGAAAAAAAAATAGCAGTAGTTTTAGAAATCAAAAGACAAAACAAAGCACTGAATTCTGGGGTTTCTAGATAAAATAATTAGTCCTACTCCTCAGTCATTAGGTATTTTCCTCTGTTTAGCTAAGAATTTCTCTCTGTATAGAGATTCAGATTTGATGCATAAGAAGCTTTGCTGCTAAAGACAACAAAAAGAACACAGGGTTAAGTTATGTTACAAGAAAGTGTCTTTAAAATGTTTTGTTCCATTGAAACTTTGAGAAAATATGCACACGACCAAAAACTGTGGAACAACTGGCTGTCACATTCTGCAGCACACCGTGAGGGGACCTGAGCAAATTTCAGAATGGTGCAGAACTCTGGAGAGCTCAGAAATGAAGGTGTCTGTGTGATCAAGTCACTTCTCAAAATAAAACGTAGAAGGGTCCACACTGCTTTAACACTGCTTGAAAATGTGGCTCTTCCTCAGCTTTGGGCTGTGAATTACAGAGGCAAAAAAATATCTACCATTAGGACCAATTCTCCCCTCCACATTCTCCTTGCATCTCAAAAAAAAATATAGAGAGTAATTCTCCTACAGATTCAAAAATTTACATTTTTAAAGCGTCAAGTTAGCTAGAATGACCAAATAATTACAAGTACTAAAACTAAATAAACTTTGAAGTTTAGGAAAGTAAAAGCAGTTTCAAAATTGATTCCCCTCAAAACTGGCTATCAGGATAGAATTAAAAATCAGTACTTCTCAGCTGTCTGATGTACAGTAAGTTACACCTAAGAAAAGAGGAGCAGTAATACATTGCTGGCAGACTCAATTCTTTGCTCTGTTAACTACCTGCATTGAAGATGGGCACATAAAAGGTGGCCAAGTACTAAGTTACTTCTGTAACGGGGGTTACCTAAGAATTAATCAGAAAGGAAAACCTGTTGTTCTGGGCACCATATAAACCACAGGATACAGATTCTTTCTGAGAAGATGCTATGATAAAGTCAGAAGTCCCATTACCAAAAATGGAACTTTCGGTTAACTTTCTATATACAGTCCATTAAACAAAACAAAAACATTTTGATAATCACCAGTAAAATAGTGACAGCAGCTCTTGTTTCTGAATGCTGACATCAGAGTCAGAAGCTTGCAGGATGTATCTACACGGCCAAATTACTCAAAACATGACCAGTGATGTTCTACTACAGTTGGAATTTTTGTAAAGTGTGTCGATTAAACTCCAGTTGATATAATGCTCTACAATTTAAATTCCGCACTTAGGATATCTACGCAAAGATAACATTCACTCAACAGGATGGTTTCCATGTAAATCATAGTTTCCACAACTATTTTTTTTTATCATTGCTGTAACAAAAAAAAAAAAACCTCCAAAGTTTTTAGCTATCAAAGCATGGTTTTGTGACAAGAAGCTGCATGTTTTTATAAGACAGCCCCTGAACTAACAATCTGTTACAAAGAAACTTCTTAGATGTCATCAGGAAAATATCATCAGCTCCAGAAAGATGTACCCTGATACATAAGACTTCAGTTAAAGAAGAATCTTTTACTAATTTGGGCTACTTGCCCTCCAGCAAAGGTCCTGTTCAGATTCTGATGCACCTAGGCAATTCATAAGAAAATAAATAAATAAATACACATTAGTTTTCCATATATTAACCACAGCTTCCAAATCAAATTAAGCTATTTACTACAAAACATATTTGTGGTTATGTTAAAAATGGAAGAACATTTAAAACCATCATCCAAAGTAGCTACTTATTTTATGCAAGTATAGAGAAGAAAATAACATATATAATAAAAGTTTAAAAGATCATGCAGTCAATTCCTCATGAGGAATCGCTAGATTGTTAAGCTCTTTAAAAAAAAGTAAAATGGCCATTTATTCTAGGTGAACAAAAGGTGCTACAAGGAATTTTTTTTTTTCTTCAGTTCTTTGCTGCTTTCTGGTAATTGAGAAGATGCAAAACCCAGCAAACATGTCACTTAAAACCGTTACCTAATAACTTCTTTATTTTGCTTTTTGGATTTCTTGGTAGTCTCTGCTTGTACAGGAACAACTTCAGGAACAGGTTCCTCAACTGCTGTGTCTTCATCACCCAAAAGAGCTGCCTGCTGAGAAAAATCCATGTCCTGCATAAACGACATGCTGCGCTTCAAAGCTAACAGCCGTTCCTAGAATCAGAAAGGACAGAGCGGCAGGGACTTAACCTTTCCCTCATAGCCAAGATGCTATGATAATGGGATGGGATGGGAATGGCCATGGCCTTATTTTGTTCTTAATGCCTCGTTTCCAATGGCGATGCAACATGATTTGGTCATGGTAGCATGGCATCAGAATTCCTGCAGCCCAACTATCAAGAGAGAAACAAACAAAAAAAAACTGCATATGCAAAAGACAGCCACCTACTTTAGACAAGACTTACCACAACAGAACTGCATCACACACACTCTCTCACACGCACATGCAGTAGCTTGAAAAATAACTCTTTTCCTGAGTAGCAACTGTACATTACTAAGAGGTGTGTATGTGTGTAACCCCTGAAACCTATGATTGCCCCCACCCTCTTCCAAAAAAGAGAAACTTTTACTAATGTAGTGAGTAAAACTTGTTTCTGAAATGAGATTCTGTTTTCCAAGTTTCAGGCAGAAGCAGGTTTTTACAGCTGCTTTAAGTACCTGACTCTTGCTTCCCCTAAAGTACATGCAGACTTCATGCAGGTTCAGAAATAAAGGGGCAGTTGTAACAATAAATGCTATCAAGCCCTTAAATGTAGCAGTACTAACAGGCACTGCCATCATTAATGACAGATGAATGAAACAATGCTCATCGGTGTTATTCCTTTTAAGTCTGACCACCCCAAATTGTTTTTAATAGGTCTCTTACTTTGCTCATCATCTTAAAGCCTGTGTGCAGTATCTTCTTGGCTAGCTTGTAGTAAACAGTATCTGGTCTGTTGTATGTCATTGCATTATCACACATTAGTTTAAAATCTGCCTGTAAAATACAAAACAAAAATACTGGTAAAACATCAAACTCCTTTTCAAGTGACTAGCAGATCTGCATTCCATCAAGGCAGATCTGAAAAGAACATTCACCACAATATTTTAATAACACTGACAAAGGGTCATGGAGCAAATGCAAGCCAAACAAAAACTAGGACTGACTTCTATAGGTTTGAGCCCTTTTTACTTCATCACAGTGTTAAATTTTGCTTGGGATTTTTTTTCCTTCCTATATAAAACAAGAATGTCCTGAAATACCAAATGTAACATTTCCATCTTCTACAAAAGGTCCAACTGGAAGAAATGGGGAAATCAACTGATGGTGTTTTTCTCATCTTTTAAACTGAGATCAAAGAAATGCAAAAAGACATGAAAAACATACAAGGCTTCCTATATATAATTCTAGCTGTAGCAATTTCATCACTTCTGTAGCAATTTGATCACACTTGCACATCTCTACTCAAAAAAAGAGGTGGGTTTGTTTTTGTTCTGCAAGTAGGAAACAGCCTTCCAGCCTTCCTTGCATGCAAAGGCCATGCCCAATTGTCTTTGCCCTTATATGGTCTCCTTTCATATCTGCCAATTTCAAACAACTTTTACTGATGCATGTTGCCAGAAGAAACTGCACTGTACACTGATCCCCAAAATTTACTGTAGATTATAAAAATATTTTTAGAAGTCCTTTATTACAGTGCACGTTAAGTGTGTTTGGGTTTAATTTCCTGTTTTCTCCCAGGAATGTCAGTGCAATGCTCTCCGAGCCATTGAGTAGTTTAGCAGTTGCCATAAGGTCCATAATAAGCAAACAGATGGACTGAGTTAACATTTGCTACGCTGTCACTTCCTATGGCATTTAAGTCATCTGCCTTCACTTAAGGAGAACACAACAACTGGGAAAGCAGGGTGGAGAAGCACCAAACTATGAGCAAAGAAAGCTCTGTATCTACTAATAGACTTGGAGATGCTGCAGAGAAGGATACAGAAGTCTCCTAGTTGCTCAACTTTGAAGCAGTCCCTCTTTTTTTAGCTGCAAAACTGATTTTTTTTTCAATGGCTTTCCCCTTGCAATAACAAGTCTATTGGAGGATTCCCCTTAAAATTACTGGCTTGTGACTGGTCTCAGCTAATTGTAGTAGTAGATCTGATGAAAAGACGAACCCTCTGAGCTGTACTTGCTTTAGGGGACAAAAACTTAAGCTTCATTTCTATATTACATAATTACAAAGGCATGAGCGTAATTAGGGACACTTAAACTCCTAGAAGAAAGTCCAAGTCTCTGTGTCAGTGTGAGATGAACAGACTTTCCCAAGTACTAACTGCTCCTCAAAGTATCAGGAGAAGCCAAATCCACTGGACATAGTCTATCTAACAACACCGTGATTTTCATATTTTTGGATTGCTCCCCCCAAATTCCAGTCACCATCTCAACCTTGCCTGTGTCTGCATATAGTCACTGAATACCAATTCAATCTTGCTTTCAAAGTTGCTGAATAAAACAACGCAAAAGCCAACAGAATTTAGGTAAAACAGATTTCTGACAGCAATGCTATGCGAACACTATGTTCACTATTTCCTCTAAAATTCCACACCATTTTTGAAAAATAAGGAGGTTTTAACAAAAGAGACTGGACCTTGTCGAAGCATCTACAGTAAATATAAGCCATTCTTAGCTCATCTTCCTGGACCTCTCAAAGGAAGAAAAAAAACTACCAAGCACCAACGCAACACTCAGCCAAGTTTACTGTTATTATCAACAAAACCCTAGAAAACAATAATACTGAAGGCAGCTATGAGAACTACATGAATCTATTTAAAAATAAATAAAAATTCTTTCCTTCCAGGATCAGGCAATACCAGATTTCTTATTGCACTGTCTGTAAAACCACAATGCACCCAACATGGTGCATGTTTTTTGCAGACATGTAAAAAAAGCCTTATAATCAATCTAATCAAGACCAGATTAAATTCCATACATATGAAAGCAGACAGATAGACAGACAGATATTCCGGGTCTCTTTAAACAACTTAAGTGCCTGCAATATTGTTTTTCATGGGTTGATGTCTAGCGTCATGTGTCCATGTCTACGGACTTCACAGCAGAACTACCGAGCAGATTTTTATATTCCCCAAAAACTTGGTTAATGGTATGAGAATAGGAGACTAACAAACATCAAGCTTCTAGAGTGAAAAATAAACAAGATATCCATTATAATGGGCAGAATGCACAGTGGGGTTAGAATTCTTAAGCAATGCACATTAGAAGCCTTTCTCACATAAATTATTTTAGAATTAAACTTTTAATTTAGAATCTTAGGTTAACTACCAAATGGCTCTGAAGTAACTAAAATCTCTATAAATTCACCTTAAATTCAGTGACTGATTTGTATTCATTTGCTGTAATTTTTTCCTTCATAGTACCAAAATCCATAGGGTGTTTTATGATCATGGAATACCCAGGAGCAATGGCATCCGTGACTGGAAAAGCAAAAAATCCATGAGGGTCTTTCCTAAAAGATAAATTAAAATAGTAGATTTAGGTTTATGTTCAGAAACAAGATTATCATTATTTTAGGCTATACTTTTAGCATAAAATGAATAGCCCTAGCTGAAACCAAAACACATAAAACCTTTTCACAACACAGAATACTTGAAAAAAATCTACTATGAGAGTAAATTTCAATTAAGAATAGGTAGACTTTTTGAAGACAGATTCAACAAGGTCTTGAAATTATTCTCTTGTATGCCTTCTGCATCTCCATTTACACTCCAAAGGGATCTTTCCACTTCTCTGAATAATAATCTCTTCCAATCTTCTTCATTAGGCTTTTGTCACTCTTAAAACAACTATGCAAGTTTAAGACTTTGGAATTAGTTCCAAATTCAGCTTATTGCTATAGAATAAGAAAAGGAAAATGGAAGATTTCGGTAAATAAAAAATAAGCACTATAGCATTAACATCTTACAGCAAACAAGAAAATCAAAGTGGAAATCAGTAGTGCAGATTAGTCCAGGCAAGCAGTTATTAATCTAACTTTGCATCTGACACAGGATACATATTAAGGCAATAAAATAAAATAAAAAACATGAGCAACATTCCACCTTTTAAGTCAATAAAATTCACACCTTTTAAAAAAATCCTAAACATATTCTTTAATATTTAATGAACATGTAACAGCAAAGTCCTCCCCCAACCTCCTCCTCCCCCCCAAAAAAGTTAGAATTGCATATTTGCTAACAGTTTTCCTCAACTAGTGCCTCCAATATTCATTTCTGCCAAAACCTACAAGATCTGTTATGGTTGCAAAGGCCACCATCACTATTATAATTAGTCTTTATGCATTATTTCCAAACAGAAGAGCAGATTAAGATGTTCTGAAATAATACATCTAAGGTTGCACTAGACACTATCCATACAGCTGTTGATCTCCCATGCTCTAATACCTTTGAAGCTGGCGAAGAAAGTGTTCCAGTAATTGCTGGATGGGTGTGCTTTCATTTTCAGCTGTAATTTGAGATGGAAAAAAAAATAGGTTAAGTGCAATGATACAGAAATATCTATCTGTAATATCAGTAGCACAGGGAAAATTACAACTTGCACTGATCTGAAGGTCAGTGAGATATGGATTTTAATGACAACAGAAGCACATGAGATAAATCTCTTTTTAAGACTATAGGTAACCGCTTCCACTCCCTGATTACTTACCTAGTTTTAATCACATTAAAACAGGTATACATTAAATCAGATGTAATACTAAGTCTATAATTGGTTGTCATTTATTCTAACAGGAAAAATGAGACTTGGCAGCTCACATATTGTAGCTGGAAGGTCCTCACTTGTTATAACTATACTGATAAAACGCTGCATAGTTCATTTACTCGTTAGAGTAAATCTAGGCTATTTGTTTCCCTGAGATTTAGATTAACCTTCTCAATCAAAAAGAAGAATAATGCATAGATGCAGATTTGCTGGAGAAATAAGTGCAGATTAAGGTTTTACTTGCTGTACAGATTCATGTATGTAGTGTTTATTAATTAATTGCCTGTTTGACACTTACATGAATCACAGAACCATCAATAAAGACTGCCTTTGATGTGAAGGTTGAAAAACGAAACAAGAAATAACCTACAATCTAGAACTGAAACTCAAATTCTTCATCATGTCAATGAGATTTCCATCCTGAGCTACAACAGTCAAGATAAATACTTTAAAAACTGTATTTTTATAAGCAGACGGAAAATAGAAGCCATGTCATTTTTAATATATCTTCTTAGTTTAACCAATTTTCAGTGCTCCATTACATTAAGGGGCAAAATCTGCAACCAGAAAATTTCAGTGACCTTTATTAGGCCACCCGAATGGACACAGTCCTCAATTTATTATGCAGTCATAATTAGAATATTCCTCAACAAATGACTTGTCCACTCAACAAACAGTTTTAAAGACAATACAGGTAATCCTCCTAAAGACCCAACTTTTTGCTATTAAGCTACATTTCAAACACAAAGCCTTTGAAGCATTATCTAATACAATGAAAAATGTTAAAGTTGGCTGTAACCAACGGTTGGAGAAAATCATGGCACAGTCCAAAGGGATCAGAACACAAAGCTTACCATACACATCTGACAGATGTGTTGCCTAATGATGACAGTTATAAGATTTGTAAGACAAAAGCACGAGGACTAGTCTTTACCGACACTCTATCACTACTGCCACCTTGTGATGAAAATATACTCAAATGAAAATATCACGCAGATTATGATTTAAAAAATAAATAAATAAATAAAACGTGCCTTGAACTGAAAAAACAAATCCTAGTTTCAGAGATTCTGGTCATACTTTTGTATAAGATATAGTGGAAATGTTAAGGGTGTGGAACTAGGGAACACTAAGCACAATGACTCTTTTACACCAGTTTTATTCTGACAGTCAGCTGTGGCCAGAGGCGTACGTCCTTGGTATGACCCAATCAATCTCCTCAGTATTAACTGATAATTATGTTCCAATGCACATGTAGAAGTCATGATGAAAACGTTCACACACTCCTCACCTGGCTGAGTTCTGCAAGCTCGGACAGGGCGATCCGGAGGAGGCTCAACCTCCACCTTCTTTCCTGGATCAAAGTCGTCAGTTTCTCCCTCAGTGTCACACTGCTCTTTTTCCCTTTTCCTCTTTTTCTCTTCCTAGCATATCAGGAAGAAGACAATTAAAAAAACTCTTTTTAGGTGCTTGGAAAATCCACATAAAAAAGAAAAAGACTTTTTTTTTCATTGGGACTTCTCAAGCTCTATCCAAGCCACAATATGTAACAACGTGGTTGAAACTACACTGAATGCATTCTCAATTCTCATTTCTTTTTTAAAATATCCTTCTATTACCACTAATTCCAGTTATTTTTGGCCTTTTTGTTTGTGCTACTGTTCCGTGATTAGAGGCTCCCCTTCTCCTGAAGAGGCTGTTTTCTGTGTATTTTTATGAAAAACTGCACGACATCTACAAGACCAAGCAGTGAGCCAGCAAAGAACTTACTACACAGTAAACAACTATCTGCTGCTGTCATTTCATCAACATGCTTCCATTGTCTGGTATATTAAGCAGGAATGAAAAAAAAAGGATATGATAATTCAGGATGCCCGCGTGTTCCTCATCTGTCAACAAACTGTCAAATGGGGCTGTCCTTTACATGGGAGCCATAGAGCAACACACACGGGGCTTCCTGCCTTTTTGAAGTGCTGTCTCCAAACATGAGCTTCTAGCAACACTGCGATTAAAATAAAATAAAATAAAATAAAATAAAATAAAATAAAATAAAATAAAATAAAATAAAATAAAATGTTTCTTGCTCTCTGCACCAGAATCTGCACCTGGGAAGCAAGCAAGAAAACAACTCGCACCTCTGAAAGCCAAACGCCACCGCTTACCTTTCTTTTTCTCCTCTCCTCATCATCCAGGTGCTTTTCCTTCTCCTTCTCCGACTTCTTTTTCTTCTTCTTCTTCTTCTCCTTATGCCGCTCTCGCTCGTGATCCGACCTGTCATCGTAGTAGCTGGAATCGTGCCCTGACCCGGACAGCTCGGTCACTTCACTTCCCCCCACCTTCAGCACCAGCTTCAGGGGCTTCTCCAAGGCCTTGTCGCCATAATCTAAACCCAAGGAGCACACGGCAAGCTGAGGCGCGCGGAGCCGCTCGCCGCGGCCTCCCGCGCGGGACGCGCCCGCCGCTCGCCTAAGATGTCGGCCGCGCCGCCGCCGCCGCCGCCGCGCCCGCGCTCACCGCCATAGGTGGTGGCCGAGGCCGAGCGCCACTCCGCCTTCTCCGCCTTGTGCTTCTTGTGCTTCTTGCCCATGGCGCGGCGCGGCGCGGCCGCCCTCGCCGCCGCGCCTCCCCCGCCGTCGCTGCGGCCCCGCGGCGGAGGAGGAGGAGCAGGAGGAGGAGGAGGAGGAGGAAGATCCGGGTCGCGGGGCGGCGCGGCGGCTCCCCGCGCTTTTACGAAGAGGCCGCAGGGAGGCGGCCGGCCCGGGCGGCGCCGCAGAGAGCCCGGAGCGGCGGGAGGAGCCGCCGCTGCCCTCGGGGCACCACCGGCCGCCGCTCCCCGCGGAGCGAGGAGGAGGAGGAGGAGGATGGACGAAGCGGCGGGGGAGCTGAAGCAGGCGCTGCCGGCCGTGGGCGACGGCGCGCACGTGCACGTGGAGGTGCTGCGCAGAGCGTGCAGGTCCGTGGGGCTGCGCGGAGCGGGCGGGTCCGTGGGGCTGCGCGGAGCGGGCGGGTCCGTGGGGCGGGCGGGTCCGTGGGGCTGCCCGCGGGGGCCGCGGCTGGCGCCGTTGGGTCAGGGCCGTGGGGGAACGGCGGCTCTCCCGAGGTCCTGGTTTCCGCAGAATGGTGCGTGAGCGTGTGTGGAACAGGAGGCGTTTTAACGGAATAACGGAGGCTGGAAAGGGGGGCTGCAAGACTGGGCGCTTCAGGGGCATGTCCCGAGACCGCAGCGCCTCCGTGCAGTGGGCTCCGGTGTTTGACCCATCCTGCTCATCAGAAATTGCTGCTGTGCCTGTTGCCCCTTGTCCTTGTGCTCCGCGTTCCCCAGAGATTTGCTCTGCTCCCCTCAGCTGGTCCTTCCAGAAGAGCCTCCTTTCAGCAGCAGTCTGGGTTTGGTGCGATCCAGTCTCATTCCCCCTTGGCAGCTCCACTCGCTCCAGCGTGTCAGTGGTGTGGCACAGCACTCCCGAAGGATTAGCTTTCCCTAATGCACCGGCTGCACTTTTGCTTGGGCAGGCTGAGGTGTAATTGTTCCCCTTTATGGAAGAGGGACACCGCTGACCACATTTTGCAGCCTGCTGTCTACATCTCCAGTTCTTACCAGTCTGGCTACCAGAATCCTCTGGTAGAGCGTAACCAGGGTCTTTTGGGACATGCAACATCCCCTGCTCTTTTTGTTGGGCCTCAAAAGATGAGTTACATCAGTGGCAACAAACAACCTTTTGAAACAACCTTTTAGAAAGCTTAAAATGGTATTCTATCTATTTTTATCTTTTACTGGGGTTCATACAGCACATTCCCCACTCCAAGGTACCGCCTGCCCTCAAGAGTGTATGTGTAACTGGGCTTCTAAGCTAAGTGTACTAACTCCAGCCTAGTAGCTTAGTTCTTCCCCTGCCAGTGAAACACAGCCACGTTGTGTGACTGATTTTCATTCCTGAAAGCTTCTAGCTATGCCGTGCCCAGCACCATGATATGATCACGAGCAGATCAAATAGCATTCTCTGAGCTGTACCTATTAATGCACAAATTAAAAACAGGTATCAAAGTTGCTGCTTTTGCCAGCAATCTTAAGTTATTTATTTAGTAGAATCTGTTTTTCATGTAGGGTTAGTGTTTTAAATAAAAGTCTCTTTTATTGTATAAATGCTAGTGCCACAAACAATGCTGTTTCTTTCTTATTAGCACAGCAAAGAAAGAAGATATCAGGACGAGCGTCTTAAAGCTGTTGAACAGACATAATGTTGTGTTTGGAGATTACAAGTGGACAGAGTTTGATGATGGTTTCCTCAACAGCAACGTGCAGTCTGTGTCAGTTGTTGATACAGAGCTGAAACTGAAAGAAAGACAGGTATCCACAGTCAGTAATGTCCAGCCTTGTTCGTGTGCGTGTGGTCTAGTGGTATCTACATACCACTGATTGTGATAAACTCAGCAAGACAAGATGCAGAGGAAGATGTCATAGCTTTTACTAGACAGATTTGTACAACTAGGAGAATACGGCCAAGCTTTTGGGCCCATAACTGTTTTTACAGTCTAAAATATAAAATATAAGCAGTAGGCTTCTAAGCTGAATGTCAACTGAGTACTGTAATTTTTTCCTGTTATAATTAGTTTTGATCTGAGAAATAGGATATAGGATGTGTGTTTTCTGTGTTCCCTTTAGCCCATTGACCTGAGCAAAAGTAGTCTTTCTCTTCATATTTTCCATCTGAATGAAGAAGGACCAAGCTCTGAAAACTTAGAAGAAGAGAATGAAGATATTGTTGCAGCTAACCACTGGGTGCTACCTGCAGGTACCCTTGCGATATTTCTGGAAGAAATAGAGCATTTATAATAAAAGAAAAAACTTGGAAGGGCTAAGAGTTGTAAGAGTGTTTTATAGGGTTGCCTATTAAAGGTTATTTTTGCATATATTATATAGCATGGTTCTTTTTAGAACCAATATACTGTGATTTTTCTTTTAATGCAGTTTTTATGTTTTTGACTGAACTACCACACTACCATAGATGATACCACAATATTTCACGTATTTCTGTAATACAAAATAGTGGGTGGGTTAAAAATAGTACAAAATCGTACGAAATAGTGGGTAACGGCTCTTGTGAAGTAAAGCCTGAAAGTGTACACACAAAATTAGAAGCATACAAATATCTAACCCTGCAAGCTGTATTGCAAATATAAAAACCAACAAGAAACTCACAACTTTATAAATTCACTTTCCAGAGATCATTATTGGCTTTCAGTTCCGAGAGCGTGCTGCTCTTGTATTTTCAAACAGAAGTATATAATCTGGCAATAGTACAGTCTCTATGTAAGAGCTGTACTAAAAACACAGCAGAGCAGGCACAGGACCTGGAAGTGATCTGCTCAGCTTGTTTTTTTTGTGGGTCCTCGATTCTTGCATCTTGCCTCTTAATAAATTAATCTTGCTTACAATAAGGTTGCGAAATTCTTTGCTGTTCTCTGATCTTTAGAGAGAACAGCAATTTGTCTAGGACATTTCGTTACTGTGAAACTACACTAGACCCTTCTGAAAGTAAGACCATCCTATTCAGTAGGGCCTGGTCTGCTCAGTTACTCTCATGAGCTCAGGGAACCTAGATGGTGGAACCTAGATGGTGGAAGCATAGAAGCAAGCTTTGGGTCAAGGATATGGTCAATCTGTGATGTTTCTTGTTCATTCCATACTGTGGAAAGCTTAAGTATCCATTGTATTTCTCTCTTTTAAGAATTCAGTCTGGTATCTTGAGAGGAAAATGAGAGGCCACAAAATGAAGCACCAAAAGTTCCACAGGAACTTAAGGAAAAATTTCTTGACAGTGAGGGTGCCAGAGCCCTGGCACAGGCTGCCCAGAGAGGTTGTGGAGTCTCCTTCTCTGGAGTTCTTTAAAACCCACTTGGATGCCGCCCTGTGCCCCGTGCTCTGGGTAACCCTGCATGTGCAGGAGGGTTGGACTAGGTGATCTCTAGAGGTCCCTCCCAACTGTAATGATCCTACGATTGCTATGATTCTATCTTGATGCAATTCCCATGTGTTGTGGTAGTTTAGCATTATTCACCGCAGTATTTTTGCTTTCATCTGCTGAAAACAAGCAAAGGCTTGAAAAGATTGAAATCCAAGTCACAACTTTATTTATTTTTTAGCATTATTCAGCAACATGACTTTTTTTCTTCTTTTCTACATATTGGTGCATATTTAAAAGAAAAAAAAATAAAATTGAACTTAGAAAATCCTCTCAGCTTTTCATAAGTCTTTATCTTGGATAAATGTAGCTCATTCTCCTGTTCAAGGTGGTGGGGGTTGGGCCATGATTCCAATAGGAAGAATGAAATACTAGTATTTTTCTATTAATATTAAAGGTTATCGAGGAAATATTAACCTCCATTCACTATTATTTGAGGGAAAAAATGATGTAAGCTGATGAATATGTACTGTTTAAGTAGTGTTCATGTTTTTCAGAGGAATAATCCATGTATTCTCACTGTTCAAAAATGTGTTTTTTATTCTCAATTTTAGCTGAGGAATAGTTTGAAAAGTGCCTGGTGCTTACCCTAAATATAAGCATGATGTATTGTTTTTGCAGCTGAATTCCATGGCCTGTGGGAAAGTCTTATATATGACGTTGAAGTAAAATCACACGTAAGTTGAAGATGAATAGCAACTTAAATTGCTTGAGAAGAAATAAGAGCTGATATATAACCTCTCTGAAGTTGTTGCATCTCATGGGAAAACTTATTTGAAAATAACTAGCTCAAGAAAGAATTCTCATGTCTGTTTATTACACTTACCTATTTTGAAGACAGTAATTTCCAGTGATCACTGTATTGTAGTTTCATGTTATTTTGGAAAGCTTTATGTTCCTATTAACAGTCCTGTATATTTTTTGACAATTGCTTACTTCTGGTATAACTTTAAGAGAAAAAGCCTGAACTGATGTATTAAAATAAAATGTCATATTTCAGACATCTGTGAGTGTTTACTGTAGTGATGTCTGCTTTGTGAGAAATTCCAGTCTTGCTCTTAATAGTTTCACTGGTGCCCATGCCAAACTATGACAAATTCACTTTATTTGGATTGTTTCGTATTTTAAGAAACTGGAAGTTTTAACAGTTGGAGGTGCTGTTTTCTTAGGAACATAAAGCTTCTCAGGAGGTTTACTTTGCTTTACTGCTCCAGACATGTTCAGCAGCCTGCCTCAAGAGAAGCAATGAATACTTTCTAAATAGAAAGGGGTGAGGATAAATTTACTTTATGAAAAGATCTCATTTTTTTTTTAAGGCTAACTGCATGTTTTTAAAGAAGGGAAGAGTAAAATCTGTGAAAAATAATGCCAAAGATGCTTAGAAAGATATATGCAGCACTATTTGTAATAAGTTCTCAATTTCTACGTAGTGAAGTCCCAAAAAGTTTACTATATTTTGATATTGGTACTTTGATATTGGAGCATGTTGCTCCTGGCGGTGTTATCAGCACTTCCCTTCTCTTGATGCTTTTCTTACCCTGACCTTGGAGAGAACTGAGGGAACTGAATCACCCACCATTTCCTGTCCCAGGAATTTGTTTGCTGTGATGGCAACTGATGATCATACAACAGAAGTGATGGATGCAGCTA